AGCCGAGCTCCCTGGCGAGGGCCGTCGCTTCCCTCCTGCACCGCTTCGTGCGCGCCGCAAACTGCTCCAGCTGCTTCCGCAAGCCCTGCGGCGGCCCTGCCAGGAAGAACTCGATGCGCGGCGCCCGCATGAGCAGGAGGTCCTCGTGGCGCGTGGCGCGCGAGAGCAGCACGTAGAGCTCCAGCCACCAGTCGTCGTCCTCCTTCTTGCCGTTCCCTACCTCGTGGCGGCCGCAATCCAGGATCACGCCTGGGCGACGTCGACCGAGGGAGCAGCGCGCCGGGCAGCCGACGGCCCAGGGCGAGAGTCCACAGGACCGAGAGATGGTCTGGCCGCGGACTGCTCGCGCCCCGGAGGTCTGGCCGCCCCCGGAGCGCCGTTCCCCCGCCCCGTCGCCTTCGCGCACGGTGCGCCCCTGGCACGCCACCGTGGTGATGACCCTGCCGTGCGAGAAATGCGGGGGGTGTGCCGAAATGGGTGGGGGTGACGCATGCGGGCGGCGGCACTGAGGCCTTCGGTGGAGCTCCCTATGGAGCCACGAAACGTGTGAGGGGTGTGCCGAAATGGGTGTGGGTGACGCATGCGGCCGCGGGCACTGGGGCCTTCGGTGGAGCTCCCTATGGAGCCACGAAACGTGTGAGGGGTGTGCCGAAATGGGTGTGGGGGACGCATGCGGCCGCGGGCACTGGGGCCTTCGGTGGAGCTCCCTATGGAGCCACGAAACGTGTGAGGGGTGTGCCGAAATGGGTGTGGGGGACGCATGCGGCCGCGGGCACTGGGGCCTTCGGTGGAGCTCCCTATGGAGCCACGAAACGTGTGAGGGGTGTGCCGAAATGGGTGTGGGGGACGCATGCGGCCGCGGGCACTGGGGCCTTCGGTGGAGCTCCCTATGGAGCCACGAAGCGTGTGAGGGGTGTGCCGAAATGACACCCCCAGTGGGACCTTCGGTGGAGCTCCCCATGGGGCCACGAAACGTTGTCCTGGGTGGGGGAGACGCATGCGAACACCCCTACTGGGACCTTAGGTGGAGCTCCCTATGGGGCCACGAAACGCTGTCCTGGGTGGGGGAGACGCATGCGAACACCCCCACTTGGGCCTTCGGTGGAGCTCCCTATGGGGCCACGAAACGCTGTCCTGGGTGGGGGAGACGCATGCGAACACCCTTATTGGGACCTTCGGTGGAGCTCCCGATGGGGCCACGAAACGCTGTCCTGGGTGGGGGAGACGCATGCGAACACCCCTACTGGGACCTTCGGTGGAGCTCCCTATGGGGCCACGAAACGCTGTCCTGCGTGGGGGAGACGCATGCGAACACCCCTATTGGGACCTTCGGTGGAGCTCCCTACGGGGCCACGAAACAGTGTCCTGGGTGGGGGAGACGCATGCGAACACCCCCACTTGGGCCTTCGGTGGAGCTCCCTATGGGGCCACGAAGCGCTGTCCTGGGTGGGGGAGACGCATGCGAACACCCCCAGTGGGACCTTCGGTGGAGCTCCCTATGGGGCCACGAAACGCTGTCCTGGGTGGGGGAGACGCATGCGAACACCCCTACTGGGACCTTCGGTGGAGCTCCCTATGTATGGGGCCACGAAACGCTGTCCTGCGTGGGGGAGACGCATGCGAACACCCCTGTTGGGACCTTCAGTGGAGCTCCCTATGGGGCCACGAAACGCTGTCCTGGGTGGGGGAGACGCATGCGAACGCCCCCAGTGGGACCTTCGGTGGAGCTCCCTATGGGGCCACGAAACGTGTGAGGGGTGTGACGACATGGGCGGTGGGGACGATGATGAAGACGATGATGAGGATGAGGATGTGGATGAGGATGATGCTGCAGATGATCATTCTGACGGAAGAGAGAAGAGGAGGGGGAGGAGGGAGGAGGGGGAGGAGGAAGGAGGAGAGGAACGCGGGGCACCGTCTCTTCAAAACGAGGACCCAACACCACAGGATGGTTGGGAAAAAAACTGCAGCGCAGGTCTTCGCAAACCCGGGTCAGCCAATAGGCGCGGCCGCCTCGCGGCCACGAGCGGCTCGCTAACCCGGGTCAGCCAGAGGGGGTCTTCGCAGGATCCTGCAGGATCCGGTGCCCTGGCTGACCCCCGTTTGCATTGACCCCCGTCTCTTGAGCCCCGAGGGGGGGAGGGGTGCGAGGGCCCGGGCCGATCGGCCAAACGATGAATCAGAAAACTATCGCAAGGCCCCAGGGGACCTCCAAGGCTGCTTCACGGGGAGCCAGGACAGCCAGAAGACGGCTTCCAGGAGAGCTCCTCAGATAATGAAGCCGAAAGGTGTCGCGTGTGACGGCCTTGCCCTTCCCTCTCCTCCTCATCCTCCTCCTCCTCATCATCATCATCCTTCTCCTCGTCCTCCTCCGCCTCCTCCTCCTCCTGCGCCTCGTCATCAGCGTTACCACGACCACCACCACTACCACCACCACCACCACCATCATCATCATCAGCAGCATCAGCAGCATCAGCATCATCACCATCATCACCATCATCACCATCATCACCATCACCATCACCATCATCATCATCATCATCATCATCATCATCATCATCATCATCATCATCATCATCATCATTCGCATCATCATCATCATCATCATCATCATCATCATCATCATCATCATCATCATCATCATCATCGTCATCAGCATCAGCAGCATCATCAGCATCACCATCCTCATCCTCATCCTCATCATCATCAGCAGCATCATCAGCAGCATCACCATCAGCATCGTCATCATCGTCAGCATCATCATCAGCAGCAGCATCAGCATCAGCATGAGCATCATCACATTCATCATCAGCAACACCATCATCATTACCATCATCATGGGCATCATCATCATCAGCAGCATCATCATCAGCATCATCATCATCACCATTAGCATCAGCCTCATCATCGTCATCATCAGCATCACCCCCGTCACCATCACCATCACCATCACCATCACCATTACCATGATCATCACCATCATCATCATCATCATCATCATCATCATCATGAGCATCATCATGAAAAAAACGTCAGCATCATCACCAGCAGCAACAGCATCAGCATACTCATCATCATCATCAGCGTCGTAGTCATCATCACCACCACCATCATCATCACCACCACCATCATCATCACCACCACCACCATCATCATCATCATCATCATCATCATCATCATCTTCATCATCATCATCATCATCATCATCATCATCATCATCATGAGTAGCAGCAGCTTCAGCATCAGCACTAGAATCAGCACCAGCATCAACATCATCATCAACATCAGCACCATCGTCATCACCACCATCACCGTCATCAGCACGGCTCTCCCACGCCTCACGAGGTGTCATCCCGTACCTACTCGAACCATCGACACCCAGAATGCTAGGCTAGCACGGGCCTTGCCGCAGGCAGACGGCGCCCCCGCTCTGCCCTGGAAGCGCCCGGGTTCACGAAGCTGAGAAACAACCAGTGTCGGCGGTGGACAAACCTCCCTTTAATTCCGAGGCCCCAAGAGGCCCCTAAGAGGCCCCAAGAGGCCCCCACGAGGCCCTCAGGAGGCCCCCAAGAGTCCCCCAAGCGGGCCCAGGAGGCCCCCCAAATGCCCCCCCGAGCACGCAAGCAAGTGCAAGCGATGCTACAATGTGCTCTCCTTTCGGTAGACTCCCAACGGGGCCCCTACAGACTTGCAACAAGCGTCAAGAACCTGCCCAAAAAGCACTGTCCAGGAGCGTTCACAAGTGCCGCGAAGAAGCCCTCCTTACGCCGGAAAGCCCGGAAAGCCGGGTGGGGTGAGCTGTTCTTCTCACCACCGCGCCCTCTCACACAATGGCTTCCGCACGCCGCCCAGAGCGCGACGTTCGGCTCATGCCCCCAGAACGCTCCAGGAGCGCGCCAAAACGGCACCGGAACGCCCCCGAAACAATCCAAGCGGCCTCAAGTCGCCGAACAATCGTTCCAAATCGCCCAAGATGACCTCAACATTGCCGTCGAGGCCGCCAAGAAGCCCCAAGAGAGCCTCAAAAGGCCCTCCAAGACGGCCATTACAATCAAAAATCGTCCCATTCCCAGAGGAACATGTACACTTCCCGCATGAACGGCGTTTCGAGTTTCACAGCGCCTCAGACTACGCAAATAGCCCCCAACATCGCTCCGAGACAGCCCAACAATCCGCTAAAATCGGCCCAAGACGGCCCAAGATAACCCCAAGACGGCACAAGAGAGCACCAAGACCGCCCAAGAGGCCCCTAAAGGGGGATTCTGCCCCTAGGAGCACCTCAGAAGCCACCAACATCCCACCAATAAGTCACCCAAGACGCCCCAAGAACCACCCAAGAAGCCCAACAAGAAGCCCCAACGACCCCCAAACTGCCCTTACGGGGCCTCAAGAGGCTTCAACACTGCCTCCAAGAGGTTCCCGAGACGCCTGGCAAAAGAACCCCCAAAGCGCCGCATTGACACCAGGCCCTCGGGCAAACGGCAGACATGAGACTGTATGGGCCGGCGGAATGAGCGAAGCGATTGAATAAACCTCCCCTTAGTGAAAACGGCCTGGGGCCGAAACCGACGGACCTGGACCCGCAAAAATGACGGCCGCGACGCCCTCTCGCGAACCGAAAACGGCCAATTCCTTAATCGACGTGTCAGGGTAGCAGGTCTGTCCACCCCCGACATTGGAGGACCCGGGGGGAACAGCGAGACCCCTTCCCAACCTGGACTGCCTCTCCTCTCCGCGTCTTGACCCTGCGCCGGATGAGGGGCCAGTCGAGACCGCGCGGCAGCTGTCCGCCTGGGCCCCGGTCCGCGCAAACTCGGTCGTCGGACTCCTCCTGGGGTCCACCCTGGCTCGCTTCCGAGGCGGGCCCAGCTGTGCCGACAAGGAGAGGCCTCCAGAAAGCACCAGACGAGGCGACGAGCGCCAGAGTCTCGACTGGCTCTCCTCCGAGTGCGCGCGGACAGTCCGCGCATCCGGCCCCCCATTGTCATTGCGTCCCCCGCCTGGGCGCTTCGCCAGCTCCCTCGGCGGGCCCTCCTCGCGGATCGCGCCCTCGGCGAGGACCATGATCTTGGTGGCACTCTGCACCGTCGCCAGCCTGTGGGCTATCATGATCGTGGTGCAGCAGGATGCGCGGATCACCTCCTCCAGTGCCTGCTGCACGACCTTCTCGCTCTCCATGTCCAGCGCGCTGGTGGCCTCGTCCAGAAGGAGCACCTTAGGCCGCTTGAGGACCGCCCTCGCGATTGCAATACGCTGCTTCTGGCCCCCGCTCAGCTGCACGCCGCGCTCGCCGACCTCCGTCGAGAGCCCCTCCGGCATCCGCCTGATGAAGTCCCACGCGTTTGCCTGCTCGAGCACGCCCTGCAGCTGCTGGTCGTCGACGCCGACGTTGTCGCATAGCTCGACACCGTATAGCAGATTCTGCCTGATGGACGTGCCGAAGAGCAGAGAGTCCTGCGCGACCACTCCGATCTGCTGGCGCAGCCAGTGGACATCGTACTCCTCGACTGGTCTCCCGTCCAGGCTGATGCGGCCCTTCGCTGGCGAGTAGAACCGTAGCAGCAGATACGTGATCGTGCTCTTGCCGCACCCAGTGGCCCCAACGAGCCCCACCACCTCCCCAGCGTGGGCTACGAAGCTGAGGCCACGGAGCACCTGGAGGTCCCGCCGCGACGAGTAGGAGAAGTGGACATCCTCGAACTCGACCCCCCCCTCCAAGGAGCAGACGGCGCCAGCGCCCCCCGTGGCCCTGGGCACACCGGCGCCGCTCGCCAGGGCTGGGTGCCCGGCTTCCATCTCGCGCCCGACGATCAGGCCTGGCTCTATGGACGAGGGCCGCTCGAGCAGGTCGCAGATCCTCGCCACGGGGCTCGACCGAGAACAGGCAGGGGTTTACGAGCGACGGGGCATGCCCATACTTATCCATGTCCTCGCAATCTGGATGCCAAGGCGCGATCCGTATGTATGCGCGATCCCACGTACGCGCTCCGCACGGGGCGTCCGCGCAAAGCCGGCGGCCAGCAGGGGGCTCCAGACCGCGAGGCCATGCGTGTGGATGTGTGGCCTGCCCGCGAAGGGTGCAACCTCCTGCCTGTCTCACAATCCGCAGGGGGAGGGAGACGAGGAGAGGGAGAAGGAGGAGCGACAGGCAAGCAGTGCCGGGGAGGCCACGAAGGGGCCACTGCGACAGAGTTAACGAACCCTTGTCAACTGAGGGGCGAAGCACTGCCACTACCTGAGGGAGCTAACCTTGTCAGCCGCCAGAAGCATCGGGGCCGAGACGGTGCTCTCGCCCAAGAGGTGCACTCCCCCCTTTGGAGGCATCCCAACGACGAACACGCAGCTCGTGGGGCAAGGGAGGAGCAAGTGGAGGAGGGCGAGGGCGAAGGAGGAGGAGCAGGAGAAGGAGCGAGGGCCAACGGTGACTCCTGGCTGCTGGCGGCCCCGCGGCGGCTATCTCGGGCAGGGTGTCGAAGAGGTCGGTGAGGACGCTCGTGCAGGCCTGCGTGCCCTGCACCAGGGTGATCACCTGCAGGGGGCGCGGCAATCGTCGTGCTACCGCAAGGTGGGCGTTTTCTTATTCGGCGTTTCGACATTGGGCGGAAGGGGGAGGGAGGGGAGGGTCTGGCTCTGGACCTCTGCATAGAGCGACTGTTTGCAACAGTGCGTCCTATGAGGGACTCCACCTGCTCGAAGCAGGCGCCCAAAACAACCAAGATCTACTTACTCTCTCCATAAGGGGGTGGAATGGGGGGAATGCGAGAGCCCTCGCCGATCGGCAAACAACGAATAAGACAATGATAACAAAGAACGGGCACGAATAGGTTCCTCGACCTGGATCGAAGAAGCTGTCTGAAAACCAGCAACCTTACCTGCCGAGCCCGACATGGTCCGTGTTTCACCGTGTCGCTCAATCCGGCGGTCTACACTGCATCGCTGGCAGCACTTCCTCGACCTGGCTCTCAAGAGCTGTCCAGAAGCCAGAAACCCTCCCGAATTCGGCTTGGTGCGTGTTTCAGTGTCGCTCAATCCGCTGGCCTATACAGTGGAGGCCAGTCCACAAGCAGCCTTCCACAGGAAACCCAACCCTGAGACTCCAGGACGTCCATGGATTTTGGGTGTGGGAGCGTCGCGCTTCCCATCGCCAAACCAGCGACACCCAGCAAACCCAGGGCACCCTGGAGGCAAGCAGCGTGCTCCCTGGCGCGTGGGCCTGCACCGTGCTGCCTCGCTGCCAGCACTGGCCTGCAGGCCCACGGGGGCCGAGCGGGTGCCGGCCCACTCTCGGGGCCTCCAGCGCGCCGATCTGGGGGGGGGTTACCAGCCTCGAACGTATCCCTATCCCCAAGATTGACACGCCGAAAGACGATGACAATCTTAGGGATTCGCCCTCAAAAAATAGGGGAATACCTAAGCTTGGCATCGTGATGAGGAGGTGCCCAGCATAGGGATAGGGATCAGTGGGAGGAGGAGGAGGAGGAGGAGGAGGAGGAGGAGGAGGAGGAGGAGGAGGAGGAGGAGGAGGAGGAGGAGGAGGAGGAGGAGGAGGAGGAGGAGGAGGAGGAGGAGGGGGGTGGGCAGCTCGGCTCGACAAGGGGCGGGCGCCAGCTCGGCCCGCGGCGCGGGGAGGGGCAACGGGGGGAGCCGCGCGGGGGAGCGGCGGCGGCTCGAACCCCCCCGGGGGGGGGGGGGGATACGGTCGCGCCGCTCTCGCGGGGGAGAGCTTCGGAGCGGCCGCGGGGGAGCTCCGGCGCGGGGCTGCCGAGGGGAGAACTCTGCTCTCTAGGGGGCAAACAAACCTACCTCGCTTTTGACCACCCTCGCTTCCAAGAGATACCAAGCGATGCCAAACTACGGCCTGTACTGGTCAGGCCGCTTGACGAGGAGGCGCGTGGTATGACTTGGTTTTGCCTGGAAGCGAAAGCGGGGTAGGTAATTCACGCTCTGACTCTCGGTCCCCTCCTGATGCTAGTGAACCCCGTCGCCTCCCCTGCCGACAGCAGGCCCTGGGTGATGAGCAGGCCGCCGTAGTACAGGCCGACAAAGAAGGACATCTCGCTGATCGCATGCAGCAGCGGCTGCGTCATGCTCTGCAGCAGGTTCACTTCGCTGAGGACCCTCGCCTCGAGAGGAACAGCACAGAGGATGGGGTGAGGAGGCCTGCTTGCACCGGGAGCGCAGCCCGGGGGAGGGGAAGCGCAAAGAAGGCGGAGGAGGCAGAAGAGCACGTGGACGGCGAGGAAGGAATCCCACCCCCCCCTGCCCCTCCCCGTCTCAAGCCCTCTCTGCCTCCCCCCCTCCCCGTTCCCCTCGCCTCCCTCCTCCCCTCCTCTGCCTCCTCTTCGGCTCCCGCTCCCTCCCCTTCGCTCCTCTCTACCCGCCGACTGCTCCACAGCCCCCCCCCCCCTCCCCAGCCTCCGCGGTTGCACGTCCGCCCTCCCCCCCACCCCCCCCTTGCCCCGTCCCCTGCCTCTCCTCGGCAGACGGCAGGGCAGGCACTGCAAGGGCAGTGCGTTGGTGGGGGAATCTGAAGGGGCCCAGGGACACAAAAATAAATACATTCCCCATGTTTTCCCATAGTTGGAGGGATCTTCGTCTTCCCCCCCACACCTCCCATATTTTCCCATACTTTCTTTTTCCCCTCCTGAGAATCGCGTGGCAGCATGGCCCCATCCCACAGACAAAGGATGTGCCGGCGGGATGTATACGATATCATATGCTGCGCAAGGGCATCCGCTTTGTATCCCATCCCCCTCTCTCCCGTCACCTCTCTCACTCCTTTCCTCCGCCCCCTCCCCCGCCTCCAGCCCCTCCGCCCTCCCCGATTCTCCTCCCTTCCCTGCCTCCCAAGGCCATCTGGGCTTGAACCTGGGCGCGCCCGAGCTTCTAGCTGAGACAACAGGGGACCCTCCTCCCCCCCCCCCCGCCTCCTCCTCCTCCTCCTCCTCCTCCTCCTCCCCCTCCTCCTCCTCCTCCTCCTCCTCCTCCTCCTCCTCCTCCTCCTCCTCCTCCTCCTCCTCCTCCTCCTCCTCCTCCTCCCCCTGGCCACGCGCGCAGGCCGCGGCCCGCGCCACTGCCGCGGCGGCCCGCGCCCGGCCCGCAGCCGCGCCAGCCGCGCGAGCCCGCCCGGCACCGGCGCGGGGCACTCCGCACGTGCGCATGTGCGAAGGCCCCCATTGCGAGGACCCCTCTCGGGGCCGCCAGCGCGAGGCGGCCCCTGGACCGGCACCACGGCTCGCAGCAGTGCGCAACGGCGCGGCGGGGACGAGGCAGTGCGAGGCAGCCAGTTCGCAGCAGTTCGCAGCAGCTCGCAGCAGTTCGCAGCCTGTTCGCAACCTCTCAGGGTCGGCAGTGCGAGGCAGCCAGTTCGCAGGCAGGGACGAGCGGTGGAAGAGCTGACCGGGCGGGTGCAGGACGAAAAACATACATGCTTGGAGCTGCACGCAGTGCGGCAAACCCTGACCTTCCAGAGAGTTGTGTTTTAGCACTGGAGGCCTAAAAACCTAAAAGAACGAAACGAAGAAGCCTAAAACCAAGACGTAGAATAGCTCTGGGATCGGTTTTTGAGTCGGGTGCCATTTTTATTGGGCCCTCCTGGAAGGTCAGGGAAGGCGACTCCAACAGATAAGCGGTCATGCAGATGTCTGGCGGCAGCCGTCGGATGCACCAGCGGCACGGGCGACAATTCTCTCGTCCACGGCGTGACCATCTTCACGGGAGCTTGGCAGCGCGCCACTGGAGACAGAAAGAAGACAACGACCAAACACAGCCAAGACTCAGATCTGCGATCGACCAGGTAATGACGGCACATTTGGGCAACGCCATCCACAACCAGCACGAGGCCGAGCCACCAAAGGAAGGCGCCAGCACAAGGAAGTTCAGGCGGAAATGCTACGACAAGCTTGACAGTTTCGCCGAATTGTTCTTTGCAGCCACGGGGGTAGGCGCGGACACAGAAGAGGCCATTGTCACCATAAAATTCGCGCTGCCCAAGATCAAGCACGACCAGATCAAAACGCTGCGGCCCAAGAAGGAGCGGATGGAAATCACAATCCAGAAAGAGGAGAAGAAGGTCGAAGCCTTCCACAGCCAGCAGGAGAAGAACCCGAAGCAGCACCACATGCTAAAAACCAATGTAGCCACGGCCCAGAAGATGATCGACGACGAAGGCCACGAGGAGAAGGAGGGGGAAGGGGAGGAAGAACATGGCACCGAGCTTGAAGACCACACACGTGCATGCTCCAAAATATCAACTGTGGTCAGACACGGTCGAACCACGTCACGGGCATCCTCTAGAGCCAAATCGATGGGCATCCCACTGGTAGCGGAAGGGGCGCTGCGTACCATGAATGAGATGAACGAGCAGATACTGCGCCGATCCGAACATTTCCCCAATTTCGCCACCGCGCTCGCTGCGGCCATCTGGGGTGGCGCGCGCAGGAAAAGACTCGCGGGGCCCGAAGGCGGATGGGGGCGATGTCGCGCGGGCAGAATCGGCGCGCCGATGGGCAGCCCAGCGCCCCGTTTGGCCGGAAGGGCCCAGTACAATGCAAGGGCAGAGCCTAAACCCCGCCCGGGGTCGCGGGATCGGGTTCCCCTTCCCAATTTAAAACTTTAAATCCAAAGCGGTGTACTGACCCGAAAATGAGCAAACGGCATAGGATCTCCTCGAGAAAAGCCTTCGGATTCGGTCATGCGACGGCCCGAAAAGTTTATCGGCCGACCTGAAAGTGGCCAAATCCCACAGGACTTGCGCCAAACAAAAAATTATGGTCCAGTTCGGGCGACCCGAACATGTGCAAACCGCCTCGGGCTCCTTGCAAAAACATCGTTCTCGAGGTCTTAGGGCCCACTCCGACGAAACCGAACATAGGCAAACCGCCTAGAACATCCTATCACAAACGCTTTCTCGGTGGTTCCGGGCCTCGTCCGAAGGAGCCGCCGATGGGCGGGCCGCTCAGGACTTCCTGCACAAGGAATGGTTTCCCGGGTGAGCCATTGTCAACGGGAACGCGCCCCGCGCGGGATTGGGGCTCGCACGGAGGCGCGGCTGCTCTCGCCTGTCCAGGGGGCATGCATTGCCGCGCCCTTCCAGCATAGCGTTTGCGCTGCATTCGCGCGGCGCCGTGCCTCTCAAAACGGAATAAACTTTCGGAGCGCCGATGTATAACAACAGATGGCAGCGATGGAAACCTACCAGAGGGGCAACGTACATGCCGAACCAGGAGATCTCACCATACAGATCAAGACAAGAAAGAGAGAGAGAGAGAGAGCGCGAATCAGAATAAGCAAAAGCAAAGGATCAATACAAAGAGCTGGAGATGGACTTGGAAGTGCAATATACCGACCAGGGGACCAACGACCAGCAGAACATCCAGAAAGCAAGAATCGCAGCCAAAGCGGAGATAAAGAAAGTAAGAGGCACAACAGCACTCCAAGCATACGCCCTCGCCGCCAAGAGTCAGGAGACCAACAGCAGGCACGCAAGCGAAGAACGAGTTACCATGCAGGCAACACAGGCAACAACCTGGTGGACACCGAGCTGCGGGAGTACATCAAGAAGCAGGCCGAACGGGAAGCAAGGATACAACCACAGGCAGAACTACACGCGCAAAATCTTGAACAACAAATACCGCAAGCTCAACACGGAGCACAACACACGATGGAGGCACAAAGGAAACACGCACTCGGAAAACCGTTCACAATAATAATATCACATAGCAAATGATAATAATCTCACATATGGAAACCTGGTCGTGAAAAGACATTGCAAACAACAAGAACAGCTTCTTGAGACAACTGCGGCGAAAAAACAGCTCAGCGTACTCAAGCACTGCAAGGACAAATCGACCAAGCACATGCAGAAATACGATGGTGCGGTCGGACAAGAACGACGGCGTGGAGAACAAGAGGCGGCTCATTATGAACCAGCTGCGACCGAGTACACTTAGGTCGGGCATGTCCCCCTACAGGCGGATATTGGGCGAACAATGGAAACACTCAAAAAATACTCCAAACATATTCAGAAATACAAAAAAAAAAAGTCGTCCCATGATTATGTTTTGACTATTTGTTGAATGTTCATCCTGTAGGGGGACACGCCCGACCTAAAATCACAAGCCCTGACCCACCACCACGAGGTCAGGCACGTGCACCAAGAATGCCAGTACGAGCGGAAGGAACCTCTCCAGCGACAGCAGCATCTGCGAAACGAAGAACCAGCAGCAGCAACGCCACTGGAACAGCCAAAGAGTACATACAGTGACGACCAGATGTTCCCGAAGTGGGAGGGGCCATTTGGGGGCATGTGTATGTATACATGTATGTCTGTGTATATATACAGATGTGTACATGTAGATATATACATATATATATATATATATGCGTGGCGGAAGGAGGAGGAGAAAGAGGAGGGCAGGACAGGACAGGACATCCGCATGAGGGCGTCAACGTCGAATCGCCCGTGCAGGCGCCGTGGGGTACGACTTGCAAGAACCCCCTGGGATGAGTTCTCGTGCCCAGGCCCCTACTCCGCATGGGGGCAAAGGGCGTACCCCAATCTCTGAGGGAGAGAGCGCCGAGACAGGCCCCGTCAGAGAGGCTCGCAGATTGGCGAGTCCCTACTGTGCGGGCAATATTTGTATCCATATCCAGTGCGTCTTGGACTTGCTTGGAAGGGGCGCCGCAAGGCCGAGGCGCACTGGATGTGGATAAACATTGAGCCTTTTCGAGGCAGATGACAACCCATATCCAGTGCGCCTCATGTTTCTTGGGAAGAGAGTCCGGAACTCCAAGACGCACTGGATGTGGATAAAGACATTGCCCGCATACTGGTGCGTGCGAGGGGGAACAGCTGCTGGCCTGTTCGCGTGCCCACTCTGGGGAGCGCCCTGGCGAACAGGGCTCCCAAGCAGGGAGGGGGGTCACTGAGCCCCTCTTTCATTTGTGAGCCAAGCTCCTCCCGGCTTTCAGACGCTCCTGCACCCCGAGGAGGAGGAGGAGGAGGAAGAGGAGGAGGAGAGGAGCAGCAGGAAGCAGGAGGAAGAGAAGGATGAGGAGGGATAAGGAGGATGAGGAGGCCCCTATCCCCGCTAATGTTTCCCCCCAGCCGCGCGCCTCGTACTCCTGGTCGCGGGTGTACCGCTGCAGCTCCCGGAACTCCCTGGCGAAGGAGCGCACTGTCCGGATGCTGTTCAGCACCTCTGGGCGGAACCCAACGCCCACCCGTCCAGATCCAGGAAGGGGGAGGACAGGCAGGAGGAGAGGAAGAGGATGACATGACGAGGTTGACTTCTTTGCAATCGCATCTCAGAGCCGATGCAGCTCGGAGGGGGAGTGGCTCTAGGAACTCCAGGAGCTCCGTCAGCGTCGCGCCGGATCCCGAGAACAGAATGAGAAGGATGCTGATGAGAAGGGTAAGGAAGAAGAGGCGGAAGAGGAGGAGGAGGAGGAACAAAACAAACACACATGGAAAACGGGGAGAGGAGACAGGCAAGCCGGTGCTCTCTCGCTCTACACCTGGCATACAGCTTCATTCTACTCCATCCCCTCCTATTGTGTTGCAGGTCCATTAAAATCCGCTGGATGGGAAGTCCTGGATACGCTGACCTCCACAGGGCAGTTGAAGGACTTGGCCCACTGTTTGCTTTACACTCGGCAAGGTAGGCTCTTGTACATTGGAGAGGACGAGGGAAGGAGGAGGGAAAGGAGGCGGAAGAAGAGAAGGATGAGGAGCAGAATGGATTGGAGCAAAAAGTGGAGCAGGGTGAGGCGAAGGAGAAAGGAGAGGTAAGGTTGGGGCGGCAACGGCGAGACCAACAACGAATCCATAGATACGGCTCGCGCTGTGGCGGGAGCGCCATTGAGAACGACGAAAGCAATTCTCCAGTCCTGCAATGCGGCCAACGCTGTAACAAGAACATCTTTTGGAAGACCGAAGACGTCCCGGCTGGGGTGCCAACCGGGACCCCAAACAGGAGATCATTGCACTCTCGATGTGCGCGACCTTTGCGGAACACTACGCGTATGGTGCTACATGTGTTCCAACGTGCATACCTCATGAGTACACACATTTACACCCGTATACATAAATAGCCATACCATGTACATGCGCCATGCATAAGTATGCGCATAGTTACACATGTGTTTATACCATGCAGAATAATACACGTCTCTACCTCTACATATTGTATAAATATCGGTACATGTACATATCTATGTATACACTTATTTGTGTATATATATATATATACACATCCGCCACCGTGCCCCTAGGCATGGAGTGGGCGCGTCCTCAGGTCCTTTCCCATTCCTCTGAGCCTCAAACCTCAATCCTGAGGAGTCTTTATGGGGCCCGGATCCGACATTCTCAAATCTGGCGAGGCTTGTCGCGTCTTGTCGCTTGATTTATTCGGAGAGAAGAGTGCCCCAAGAAGGGCCAGGAGAGCCTCAAAGGCCCAGAAACTGCCCAAGAAGCCCCGAGTCGCCGAACGATCGCTCCAAGACGCTCGAGATGGCCCCAGGATGCCTCCGAGACGCCCCAAGAGGCCTCCAAGAGGCCTCCACAGAGGGCCTCAAGAGGCCAAATCATTGATTCCCCTCGGGCGTTTGAAGGATTTTGGGGTTCTCGCCTTCCCGGCTTCCCGACGCTCCAAGACGGCCCACGAGGCCCCCAAGATCGCCCCAAGACGGCCCAAAAGGTCCCGAAGAGGGCCCCAAGACGGCCCAAGATGGCCCCAAGACGGCCCAAGAGGCGCCCAAGACGGCCCTGGAGGGCCCAAAGATGGCCCCAAGACATGGCCCAGATGGGGAACCCGAACGGACATTTCGAGCCCTCGGCCCCGGCCCGCAGGAGGTCCCAAGAGGCCCCCAGAAGGCCCCCAAGAGACCCCATCCAAGAGGCCCAAGGAGGTCCCCAAGATGCCCCCCCCAGAGGCTCCCACGAGGCCTCCAAGCTTCTCCCAAGAGGCCCCTGGGAGGTCTCCGGAGAGACCCGAGGAAGCACCCCTGAGAACTCTGACCCACAAGCCAGGCACGGTGGCGGGATGGGCCGAAGGCCAATCGACATATTTACCCATGGATGCGTAGATATGTACATGTGTATATAGCGCCATGAACGGTGCAACCCACGTTGCGGAGTAGTCCCACCAGCACTTTGGGCGTGAGTGGTTTAGCGAGCTCTCTCTGTCCTCAACCCCCCTTCTTCCCCTTCGGGGACGGGTTTACCCCTCCCCCTACCCCCTCCCCCTGGGCCTGGAGAGGGCGGGCCGCGGGTCGTTAGGGGGGTCTTTTTCGACTCCTAGGAGGGCCAAAAAACGACGACCCTCACGAGGATTCTGGCCCCGACGGGGGGACCCAGTTTGGCCCCTCTGCTCTTCTTTGAAGCCAAAATCATTGATTTTACTCAGGTTTTGCCCCCATTTTGACGTCCTCAGGGGGCCGCGCTCATCTTCCTTCATAGCAAAATCATTGATTTTACGAAGGTTTTGGGCTCATGTTGTCCTTCTCAGGGGGCAGCGCTCATTTGCGCTTCTGAGGAGGTCGCAAGAGGCCCCAAGATGGCCCCAAGAGGCCCCCAGGAGGCTGGCCCCAAGAGGCCCCCAAGAGGCCCCCAAGAGGCCCCAAGAGGCCCCAAGAGGCCCCCAAGAGGCCCCCAAGAGGCCCCCAAGAGGCCCCAAGAGGCTCCCAAGAGGCCCCCAAGAGGCCCCACGAGGAGCCCGAACGACTCACACCAGGACGAGGGGCCCGAACGACTCACACCACGAAGAGCCCGAACGACTCACACCACAAGGAGGGGCCCGAACGACTCACACCAGGACGAGGCGCCCGAACGACTCACACCACGAGGAGCCCGAACGACTCACACCACGACGCGGGCCCCGAACGACTCACACCACGAGGAGCCCGAACGAGTCACACCAGGAGGAGGGGCCCGAACGAGCCCGAACGAGTCACACCAGGAGGAGGGGCCCGAACGCACCAGGATGAACAACTCACACCACGAGAAGCCCGAACGACTCACACCAGGACGAAGAGCCCGAACGACTCACACCACGAAGAGCCCGGACGACTCACACCAGGAAGAAGGGCCCGAACGACTCACACCAGGACGAGAAACCCCAAACGACTCAAATCACGAGGAGCACTTTCTCTCCCTCCTCCTCCGCCTCGTCCTTCTCCCGCTCCCCCCACAAGGAGGATGTACAAGGAGGCGGGAGGAAGGAGGAACAGGGGAGATATGCGGGGCCAAGCGGACACACGCCTGAAAAAACACGACTGTCGCCATGCTTCGCAAGAGTTGCTGCTGTGAGATGGGCTGGTGGGGATACGCGAAGCGTAAAGAATGTTATGCGCCCCTTTTTGCGAAAATGAGACCGTGCACGATGGCCCTCCGCAGGGGACGCGCGCAGGTCCATTAGGCTGCGCCTATATCGCGCAACGTATGGGGCGCTGCCTGCGTGATGCAAATTAGTCTGGCGCAGGACCCAACCGTATGCAATTGTGGGCACCGTCGTTGTATGCACCGCATTCGGTGGAGCTCACTGGCATCTGGGCCTTTGGTGGAGCTCCCTGTGGGGCCACCCAACGTGTGAGGGGTGTGTCAACATGGGTGCGGCGGGCGCATGCGAGCGCTGGCATATGGGTCTTCGGTGGAGCTCCCGATTGGGCCACAAAACGTGTGAGGGGTGTGCCAACGGGCGCATGCGAGCGCTGGCATCTAGGCCTTCGGTGGAGCTCTCGATAGGGCCACGAAGCGTGTGAGAGGTGTGCCAAAATGGACGCGGCGGGCGCATGCGAGCGCTGGCATCTGGGCCGTCGATGGATCTCTCCATGGGGCCACGCAACGTGTGAGGGGTGTGCCAAAATGGATGCGGCGGGCGCAGGCGAGCGCTGGCATCTGGGCCTTCAGTTGCTCCCTATGGGGCCACGAAGCGTGTGAGGGGTGTGACAAAGTGAGGGGTGTGAGGGGAGCAGGAGGAGGAGGAGGAGCAGGAGGGGGAGGAGAGAGGAGGGGGGGGAGGAGAAAGAGGAGAGAAGACGCGGAGCGCTGTCTCTTCAAAAAGAGGACCCAACACCACAGGATGGATGATGTGGCGCAATATGTGTGGCGCACCATGAGGGCCACATCCCATGTGCTGCGTTTTATTAAGTGCACGTCTAGGGCGCGCCATTGTTTTTGACAACGTCGGCGCGTGACCACCTCATATGCTCCTGCAAACGTCTCACTCACCCACCCGCAACCTGTTGGCAACACTCAACTGGGCGGCGACAACGACGATGATCATGATGATGTTCCCAACGACGGCGAGGGCCATGTCAACGGAAACGATGGCGATGGTCAGGCGGCGCGCCTGGGGGGAAATGAGAAGGGGCGGGCCTTCTCAGAAGGCTCGGAAATCCCCCGGCCTTCTGAGAAGTTTTCTGAGCCTTCCCCGAAGAAACATAACACTTCTCAGAAGGCGCGAGGGCTTCTGAGAAGTCCCGCCGCCTTCTGAGAAGGCCTTCTCGTTCTCACGTCCCCCCCTCGCTCGCCGCCGAATGGCGATGAAATTGATGGTGATATCAAAGGCGGAAGCTGATGACGTTGATAATGACGGTGGTAATGATCACCCTGGCGGCGATGATGACGGTGGTTTCGATTGGGATGATGAGGATGTGTGCGCATTGAGAAATTAGACGAATGCGACGGCATCGACGATGACAATAATAGCAGCGGTGCTGATAATGACGACAATGATGGTGATTGTGATGATGGTTGCGATGATGATGGATATTTTGTAGCGGGGCCGACAATGGCGGGGATGACAACCAATGCTGCGCAATCAAGTCCACTGACCGACAGGTAAGCGCTTAAACAGTAAAGCCACGGACGAGTTGCAGTCGGACCTAGGCCAGAAGAACATCCCTCAAGAACACGAGACCCTCCGCTGGCCAAAAGGCACAGAACATCCAAGGGTACCCTCCCCAGGGTGCACAAATACATCCAACAAACACGAAGAACAGTAGGATACCCTCCCCAAACCGACCTCGATCTTATACCTCGGTCCGACAATAGAGCCTTAGTGAAAGAGGAGAGAAAAATACGGAATTACCAAGAGCGAGTGGCCGGAACGCACGCAGCACCCTCGGCTGGAGGCCTGGCAGCTCGGGAAAAGCGGGGGCGGTCAGCCCGACACCCCTGCACTTCATCGCTTCAGCCT